GAAAATCTACCACAAAACTATTAAGGGACCTAGGAATCATGGGCCAGAAACAGCGCAGAGCCATCAAAGCTACATCAGAGGCAGCAGAAAGAAGCAGCCAGTGGCTCTGGCTGAAGAGGAATGACCCCATTTGGGCCCCCAAGTAGTGTGCCAGGCTGCACACTTTAATGGCTAATTGGACTTGGGATGCAAGCTGAGGTCTGATCAACCTACAGCTGGCCGCCTCTGAGGAAGGTGTATAGTGTTAAAGGCCGAAACACCCCATGATCCAGAGGAACACTACTGAGGATGCGTCCCAGAAAATTTTTCCTGCAATTCTACCATCCACCGTTAAGTAGACCAAGCACTCGTATGTTCTTGCACAAGGAAATACCATCCAATCCTGTGTTTTTTGGAATCCTAAATAAATTAGTTCATTTTAGGATTATTGGTTAATGCTCTGAATATTTTAGACAAAGCAACGATGAAGTAAACTTTATTTCAAATGACTGTTTGGTTGTTTATTCGAAAGCTGTTATTAAAGGTTTTTGAAAAAAGTATCACAGCGGCCAGCATCCTGGCATGAATTGTGATCGATGACGCAAAGCTCCCTGTCTCAATTATTTGCCCACTTGTGCACCACGCACTCAAAACCTTACTGTACACTTTCGCCAAGTGCACTTGGTGTGATCATTGGGATTGGGCCATGGTTTGTTCACAGTGAAGTCAGAGGTCAACAGACAGTCCAGCAGCTTCCTCAGCTAGGAAGTTGTGTTCTTCCCTGTACCAAAAATATTCCATGCTTAACTTCCCTACCAGCATCATCTGGAAACTAATTCTAAACAACCTCTCCCATTAACAAGGAGCTGCAGCTACAAAGGCCTAATGCAGAAGACAAGACTTTTATTCTTTTAATAAAATGATTCTTACTTTGGTCTCATGATTTCTTTCAATCTACAGGCTGTTTACAATCATATTCTGTGTTATCTACAATGAGTGTTCTATCTAAATTGATTTAATAATTATCATAAATTACTATAACTGAACCTGGTAGTGTTGATCCCTCTGTGTCATTGTGTGCTGAGCTCCAGACCTTCTTTCTTCACAAAGTCCGGGACATTAGGGATAGTCTTGAGCAACCAGGATTTGGCAGTCCTGATGTACCACCAGAACCTCCCTCATTCTCTAACTTTACTCCCATATCTCTTAGTGAATTGTCAGATCTGATTGGAAATATGAAACCAGCAGGTTCTCCTGAGGACCCTCTCCCCCCGAGGATGGTGGGTGACATCATCCCTATTTTGGGCCCCGCCATCTTAGACATTTTTAACTCTAGCTTGGCCACTGGGGTGTTTCCTACTTCTTTTAAAAAGGCGGTTGTGCAACCAATAAAAAAAAAAACTGGTTTAGACAGCTCAAACCTTGCAAACTTTCGGCCAATCTCCAAATTACCGTTTTTGTCTAAGGTCCTCGAAAAGATTGTTTATTCACAGATTACAGCACACATGAATAAATTTTCTCTGGTTGATGTGTTCCAGTCCGGGTTTAGGCCACTTCACAGTACCGAATCGGCCCTTCTTCGCGTGACCAATGACATCCTGGTGGCTTCTGACTCTGGGTCGCCTGTTTTGCTCCTACTATTAGATCTCTCTGCAGCATTTGATACCGTTGACCACGATATTTTGCTGGATAGACTTGAGTCATGGGTAGGGCTTAGGGGTACCTCACTTCAGTGGTTCTGCTCATATCTGTCAAACAGAGTTTTCAAGGTTCAGTTGGGTAATTGTTCCTCTACATTCCTTCCACTTCCATGGGGAGTCCCGCAGGGATCTGTGCTTGGACCTCTCCTGTTTTCAATTTACATCCTCCCCCTGGGTTTCATCCTGAGGAAATATGGCCTGGGCTATCATATTTATGCAGATGATTGCCAGATCTACCTGGCTTTGAACAAACCAGGCTCCCTCTCTCTTCTGGACCAAAGTTTGGCTGAAGTGAGGGTTTGGCTTGCCAATAATTTCCTTAAGCTGAATGATTCTAAGTCTGAGGCACTCCTGATGACCCCTAACAAAACCACACATGTATCTTCTGATTTGGCCACTCTCCCATATGACCTCAAGCAGTGTGTTACCAACCTGGGGGTGAAACTGGATACACACTTTTCCATGGGCCCTCAAATTAACGCAGTGGTCAGATCGTGGTTTTTTCAGCTGCACATACTAGTTCGCTTAAAACCGATCCTGAAACGAGCACACCTGGAATCTGTAATTCATGCTTTTATCATTTCCCGACTGGATTATGCAAATTCCATTTTAATTGCCTTACCTGCCTCCACTCTTAACAGGCTTCAGGTCGTACAGAACGCGGCAGCCAGGTTTTTAACAAACACTCCTAGGAGAGAACATATCACACCTGTACTGGAACAGCTCCACTGGCTACCCGTAAACTTCAGAGTCAAGTTTAAAATCCTGACTTTTGTTTTTAAGGCCCTGAACGGTCTGGCTCCGGATTTCCTGTCGGATCTTGTGACTCGATATGTGCCAAACCGGGCGTTGAGATCTGCGGATTGCCTGCTGCTTCACGTTCCATCAATGAAATGCAAAACACGGGGGCAGCGTGCTTTTACCTATGCTGCTCCGACACTCTGGAATGCTCTTGCTCTTTCAGTGAGGCTGGCACCATCCCTTCTCCGGTTCAAGTCGCTGCTTAAGGCTCACTTTTACGACCAGGCATTTTTAAATCCCTGACTTTTATTATGTATCTGTTATTGACCGTGATTATCTGCCTTGTTGTGCATTTTATTGTTGACCGTGTATCGTTTTATATTGTGTTTAAACTTTTTATTCTGTACAGCACTTTGGTCGGCTGCCATGCCATTTTTAAATGTGCTTTATAAATAGTTGGTATGGTATGGTATAAATGTTTAATATTTCATGAGTTATTTTGGATCTTTATTACACCACATGAGTCTACTTGTTGATTTAATAATGATTTATTATCAGTTTCATTCACATATTAATATCAGTGTATTAACAAATGAATGTTTAACAGATTTACTCCATATATTAAAGAGCAAATTGCAGGTTAGTGATTCCCATGAACCAACGTTTAGAGAAACATAATAGAAAGAGGTTTTAAAAATTTTAACATATCATTTAGGCTTACAGTCATTTTTGTGAGAATTATTATTTTCTTTCCCCAAACCAAGTGACATCAGCTGAGAGTGTCCTGTTAGCTTAATCCAGAGAAAAATATGGATTCTAATGCAGCTCTGACACAGAGGAGACTTTAAATGTTTATAATTCTTCTTCTGATGGACTAAAACCATAAAGTTATGAGTTTGCTGCTCGCCCCAGAGAGCAGAGACAAGCGGCCAAAGCAGAGAGATTGAGGAGAAGCAGCGAGGGAGCAGCAGGTGAGTTAACTCGTGTGCCAACATCACAATATTGTACAGATTACTATCATGTACCAGACTATTAAAACAGTATCCATCAGTTAATATATTAATTCTTGACAATAATAATGACATTAAATTAGTCTCCGAGAACACAGTAAGGAACCTTGGTGTTATCTTTGACCAGGACATGTCATTCAAATCCCAAGTTAAACAGGTTTGTAGGATTTCCTTTTTCCACCTTTGGAATATTGCTAAGATTAGAAGCATCCTTTCCAGGAGTGATGCTGAAAAACTAGTTCATGCATTTATTACAACAAGACTGGATTACTGTAATTCATTACTCTCAGGAAGTCCACAGAATGTAGTTAAAAGTCTTCAGCTTGTCCAAAATGCTGCAGCTAGAGTTCTGATGAGAATTAAAAAGAGAGATCATATCTCTCCTGTCTTAGCTTCCCTACATTGGCTACCTGTTAAATTCATAATGTATGACCGGTGTCAGAGCTTGGTCCTCATTGCCGGCAGTAAGTCGGGCTCGTTCCCAGTGAGAGTTGGACTCCAGCAAGACTGCTCTTTGTCACCGATTCTGTTAATAACCTTTATGGGCAGGATTTCTAGGCACAGCCAAGGTGTGGAGGGCATCAGTTTTGGTGGCCTGAGGATCAGGTCTCTGCTTTTTGCAGATGATGTGGTCCTGTTGGCTTCATCAGAACGTGATCTTCAGCTTTCGCTGGAGCGGTTCGCACCCGAGTGTGAAGCAGCTGGGATGAGAATCAGCTCCTCTAAATCTGAGACCATGGTCTTGATTCGGAAAAGGAGAATGCCTTCTTCGGGTCAGGGATGAGGTCCTGCCCCAAGTGGAGGAGTATATGTATCTCGCGGTCTTGTTCACGAGTGAGGGAAAACTGGAGCATGAGATCGATAGGTGGATTGGTGCTGCATCTGCAGTGATGCGGGCGTTGTACCGGTCTGTCGTGGTGAAGAGAGAGCTGAGTCAGAAGGCGAAGCTCTCGATTTACCGGTCAATCTACGTTTCTACCCTCACCTATGAGCTTTGAGTAGTGACCGAAAAAACGAAATCACGGATATAAGCGGCCAAAATGAGTTTTCTCCACAGGGTGGCTGGGCTCTCCCTTAGAGATAGGGTGAGAGACTGTCATGCATGAGGGGCTTGGAGTAGATCCGCTGCTCCTCCACATCGAGAGGAGCCAGTTGAGGTGGCTCGGGCATCTGGTCAGCATGCCTCCTGGACGCCTCCCTGGTGAGGTTTTCCGGGCACGTCCAACCGGGAGGAGACCTAAAGGTTAGACCCAGGACACGGTGGAGGTACTATGTCTCTCACCTGGCCAGGGAACGCCTTGGGGATTCCCTCGGAGCAGCTGGCCCAAGTGGCTGGGGAGAGGGAAGTCTGGGCCTCTCGCCTTAGGCTGCTGCCCCCGCAACCCGACTATGGATAAGCGAATGAAAATGAATGGATGGATGGATGGATAGTTTATAGTCAATGTGCGCTTTGAAGCAGCATAGACCTATTTTAACACACTTGAATCGCAACAAGAGAAATGTTGTTCACAAGTAACCGTTTACTTTCATAACTTCACTGCGTGTAAGAAAATATTCCTCCGAGAAAATCTAAGCTGTTTGAAAACATTTTATTAGATTTTTAGGAAGTGGATGTGCAGGAATCTCCTCCCGGCGTCAGAGCGCGTGGCCGTTGGCTGGAGCTGAAGCGTTCCCTTTGTGGGACCCTCATCTTGGTTTAGGGGCAGGTCTGGGGGGGCGACGAGCCTGGTTGGGTCCAATGTATTTCAGTGGTGTGGACTTTGGCTTCTCAATCACATCCAGACCCAAATAAGGCTTCAGGGCTTGAGGAACGCGCACGGATCCATCCTGGAGACGTGGAGACACAAGAAGTCCAAAACATTCACATTTCATCAGAACCCTTCAGAAACTCAAAAGTCTGAGATTTCCCATTTCCAGGAAGCCAGATCTGAACAAGACTGACATACTTTATTCTGGTGAGTCTCTAAGATGGAGATGATCATTCGGGGAATTGCGCAGGCTGTAGCGTTCACCTGGATTGAAGGACAAAAAGAGAAACAGCCTCCATTACAGCAGTTATGTGAGGCTGGAGGGGTGGCAGCAGTGGTCCCCTTCTGAAGGCTTACTGTGTGGGCGTACTGCAGGCTGCCATCTTCTCGCTCATACAGGATGTTCAGACGTCTGCTCTGGTAATCCGTACAGTTGGATCCACTGGAAATCTGAATGAGAAGCACACCTCACACTCAACTAGACCTCTTCAATCATCTCCTGTCTGCTAAAGCAAATGATCGATGTTCTTGGTGGAAATAAGGCTAACCTCTCCATAGCTGTTCCTCCCAGGCATCCACGCTTCAATGTCATACTTCCTATTTGCAGGAGGACCTAGCTCCTGAGTTGGCATGTCCAGCACTCTAAAGGAAACAAGTCAGGGAGTTGACTCTACAACAACTCAGAAAAACAAACATGTTCGTATAGTTCTTTGCACTAAATCCCAGACAGCTTTGTTCTGGATGCTTCCTCATTATTTCATCGTTATTTCAACACATCTGCAGAGGTCTCTAGTGCAGGGGTCTCTAGTGCAGAGGTTTCTGGTGCATGGGTCTCTAGTGCAGGGGTCTCTAGTGCAGGGGTCTCTAGTGCATGGGTCTCTAGTGCAGGGGTCTCTAGTGCAGGGGTCTCTAGTGCATGGGTCTCTAGTGCAGGGGTCTCTAGTGCAGGGGTCTCTAGTGCAGGGGTCTCTAGTGCATGGGTCTCTAGTGCAGGGGTCTCTAGTGCAGGGGTCTCTAGTGCAGGGGTCTCTAGTGCAGGGGTCTCTAGTGCAGGGGTCTCTAGTGCAGGGGTCTCTAGTGCAGGGGTCTCTAGTGCAGGGGTCTCTAGTGCAGGGGTCTCTAGTGCAGGGGTCTCTAGTGCAGGGGTCTCTAGTGCAGGGGTCTCTAGTGCATGGGTCTCTAGTGCAGGGGTCTCTAGTGCAGGGGTCTCTAGTGCAGAGGTCTCTAGTGCAGAGGTCTCTAGTGCATGGGTCTCTAGTGCAGGGGTCTCTAGTGCAGGGGTCTCTAGTGCAGGGGTCTCTAGTGCAGGGGTCTCTAGTGTATGGGTCTCTAGTGCATGGGTCTCTAGTGCAGGGGTCTCTAGTGCATGGGTCTCTAGTGCATGGGTCTCTAGTGCAGGGGTCTCTAGTGCATGGGTCTCTAGTGCATGGGTCTCTAGTGCATGGGTCTCTAGTGCATGGGTCTCTAGTGCATGGGTCTCTAGTGCAGGGGGTCTCTAGTGCAGGGGTCTCTAGTGCAGAGGTCTCTAGTGCAGAGGTCTCTAGTGCAGGGGTCTCTAGTGCAGTGGTCTCTAGTGCAGGGGTCTCTAGTGCAGGGGTCTCTAGTGCAGAGGTCTCTAGTGCAGGGGTCTCTTGTGCTGGGGTCTCTTGTGCTGGGGTCTCTAGTGTAGTGGTCTCTAGTGCAGTGGTCTCTAGTGCATGGGTCTCTAGTGCAGAGGTCTCTAGTGCAGTGGTCTCTAGTGCATGGGTCTCTAGTGCAGTGGTCTCTAGTGCATGGGTCTCTAGTGCAGGGGTCTCTAGTGCATGGGTCTCTAGTGCAGGGGTCTCTAGTGCAGGGGTCTCTATTGCAGGGGTCTCTAGTGCAGGGGTCTCTAGTGCAGGGGTCTCTAGTGCAGGGGTCTTTAGTGCAGAGGTCTCTAGTGCAGGGGTCTCTAGTGCAGTGGTCTCTAGTGCAGTGGTCTCTAGTGCAGGGGTCTCTAGTGCAGGGGTCTCTAGGTCAGAGGTCTCTAGTGCAGGGGTCTCTAGTGCAGGGGTCTCTAGTGCAGGGGTCTTTAGTGCAGGGGTCTCTAGTGCAGTGGTCTCTAGTGCAGTGGTTTCTAGTGGAGTGGTCTCTAGTGGAGTGGTCTCTAGTGCAGTGGTCTCTAGTGCAGAGGTCTCTAGTGCAGGGGTCTCTAGTGCAGAGGTCTCTAGTGCAGTGGTCTCTAGTGCAGAGGTCTCTAGTGCAGGGGTCTCTAGTGCAGGGGTCTCTAGTGCAGGGGTCTCTAGTGCAGAGGTCTCTAGTGCAGAGGTCTCTAGTGCGGGGGTCTCTAGTGCGGGGGTCTCTAGTGCAGGGTTCTCCAACCTTTTTTGGGCCACGAGGTACTTTTAATCAGTGACAGTACAGAAGAGCCACCACCAAACAATGTATTCACCTCGATACTTTCCATGCCTGAATATGCTTACTATGTTAAAACGTTATGCTAACTATAGTAACATGCATTGTATTCACTAATTGATTTCTCTGTGTTTCCATACATTAGGGCTGCACAATATATCGTAAATATATCGTTCTCGCGATATCAGCATGCACAATATGCATATCACTAGAGCAGAAACAACTAATCGATTTAATCGATTATTAAAATAGTTAACTTTTTTAGTCATCGATTAGTTGTTTAATAATCATATTTTACCTCATAAAGTCTATTTTTTACCACAATCTGACATCGGTTACAATCTGTTAAATTTGCCGCCAGTGTGTGGCAGTAATGAGCCACTGATCTACCAGTGGAGCCGTAGAAGAAGACATGAGCCAATAAGTGCCCTCGGTTTTCACGACGTAACACGTTACTGACGCACATCTTTCTGTGAGAGATGGCAGAACAAGGAGAAATACGGAAGAAAAATAGAAGCGACAAAACAAGAGAAACCCCGGACAAAAACCTCACGAGTATGGGGAGCACTTCGCTCTAGATGCCTTGAAAAGACGGATGACCTGTAAAATATGCAAAAACCATCTAGCATGGCACGGAAGCACGACGTCCCTAAGTGAACATTTGAGACGAAAGCATGTGGGGGCTGATGCACCAGAGGAAAGTCCGGTAAATCCGGTAAGTAACAGAAAATAAACAAGCTAACGCAGATCAAATTTGGGAGCTGAGTTCGTTATAGTGGATGTTAAACATGTTTTTTTGCCGCGTCAGTCTACGGTGTTCTACTTCTGATTGACTAGATGCAATTGTGGATCTCCGTGTTGTGAATCATGCGCTTGCCAAATTTAGCACGTCTGTTTATAATAATGTTCTCGTTAAGAGAAAAACGGCACAAACCCATAACTATGTTCCTCATTCAAAAAAGGACAACTCCACGGAGAAAAATAGACAGACGAGCTGTGTCCAGGTGAATATAACGCGGCATAGTTGTACGCTTTCAATTTTTAAATACCTTTTTTTTACTATTAAAAGGCTGTTTTACACTGTAAAACGTCTCACAACACATTTTTGTCAAAATAAATGATCACTGTATATTGTTAATTAATTCAAATAACGTAATATTGATTTAGTGTTTTAGTGTGTGTGCTGCTTTATTTTATATGTGTACTTATTTCAGTCTATTTGTTTCTTATGCAGAAAAAAACAAGCAACGATGGACAGCTACATGGGGAACAAGACACTCACCCCCCAGCAATGCATACCACTTACAAACACTATTCTAGATTCTACATTATTTTTTATGGAATTTACCTCTTATATTTTGATGCCAAAAAATTATTCTGGACTGATATTTTGCACTGTTTAGCTGATTTTACACCGCTGACTGTGTTCATGTGCAATAAAATAGATTGCAGTCAACTGCACAATTCTCTTATGTTTTTCTTTTTCATAACTGAAATGTATTCATCACTTGTATAGGTTAAATAGCTAAACAAAAACAAACCGATTAATCGATTAATCGAAAAAATAATCGACAGATTAATCGATTATGAAAATAATCATTAGTTGCAGCCCTACATATCACAAAGAACTAGTGTTGTCAAAAAAATCGATACCTAGATATAAATCGATACTAAAAGTGGTATCTAAATTAGATATTCCATCCCTGTGGTATCAATATCATGGACTATTATACACAGGCTTCTTCAAGTACACCGACACGCACGACAGCCAGATGCCGTAAAGCAGCCTCCGCCTCCCAGACAAACAGAAGAAGACGACGACGCATGGCTACATTACAATTTCCCACGCGAGTTGTCTCCGATCCAAGTTTTGTCTGCCAAATAAATAAACATTAACAGCGAATTTGGGAGGCGCTTCACAGCCCAACTTAATTAGCATACCAAGTCCGACACGTAATTGTATATTCACGCTTATGTGCTTAAAGGAAACTCCCGTTTATTGCAACCCGGACTTAATTTCTAGCATGCAGTACGTTTGTTTACTCACGCTGACAACTTTGGTGCTACTTGGATTCCCTGGGGTATTTAGATCCATCGGCAAATCGCCGTCAGCGTATATCCATATAACGGGTGCGGACGGGCACCCATGGTGCAACCTTGAAATAAGACATTATCTGCACCAAAACATCTTCATGTCGAAAGGTTTTGTTAGGAATCATTAACGTGATTCCCCTGTTCGTTTGGAGCGGGTCTGGGATTTCTAGGCGTGAACAGACTAGCTGCGGCTAATTAACCGGCGCTTTTAATGACGTCACTGCCGTGCGCTAGTCTGTTTTTATTAAGATTACCTTTGTTCTACTGTGGAGAAATTCGTTTTTTCCCTTTATTGACCAACAGAGTTGTTCAAAAGTACAGAACAAAACATATGGCATTACATCTTATGACAAAAATGCACCTTAAACAGAGTTTAAGCAGCAAAACATCACTCTGCAAATAGTGTATATATAGTGAGACAATTCATGATTTAAAGTGTTAACTTTCGTCAGTTTTTGTATGCACGTTTTAAAAAATGCTGATACTTGAAAGGTTTAAGCACTTTACACACTTAATTCTTAACATTTAATTTTTGCAATATAAATTGAGGAATGTTATTTTTTGAATAAACTTGTTCAATAAATTGGTGTTTTTAAATAGCATCGAAATCGAGCACCGAGTTTTTTTTCAAGTATCGAATCGAGTTTGAAATTTTAGTATCGTGACTACCCTACAAAGAACAGATAAATATCGCAATGAATGGTCAGCTATAATGTTTGCTACACATAATGCAATCTGTCAGTCAAACAGAAGCATGATGTTTGTTAACAAATCAAACAGAGCTCTTCACCCATTTGGCCAATTGGGTGGGTTCTCATAGGTCAGATGCCCGCCCCCGAGACGGACGGCACTTAATTTTGATAGTAAGCAAACACCCGAGTTAGCTTTGTTCTGCTCTTTCTGCTGATTCTGCTTTTCTCGCGATCCACTGATTGCCTTTTCTTGTTCATTTTCTTTAATTTTTTTTAATTTCTTTGTTTTAGATTATTTTTTGTTCCTGAGTTAAGTTATTTATTTATCGTAAGTAATATCGTCATCGCAATATTAATCATTGTTATCGAATATCGCAGGTTTTCCTAATATCGTGCAGCCCTACCATACATCAATATTACTTAAAATAGTACATGGAAGATAGTAACTGTCACGGCTGCCAGCCTGAAGAGGGGAAAAAGCAG